CCCACGTAGATATTATGCTGTATTAAAATCATTAGCAGCAGGTATATGAGTGTTATCATTTATTAATGTTTTTATAGCAGCATTTAAGATAAAGGGACTGCAAGTAGCTCCAAACAATACAGAACTGAACTGATAAGTAACAAAGTCACTGTTTATATCATTGACATCTGCAAGCCACAAGAACTTTGTATATTTCCGATCATCATTATGGAGTCGGATATGGAGAAATGCTTTCTCAATGTCACTTGTTAACGCCACTGGATTTGATCGAAAGCGTAACAGGATCGCAGAATCAAACAATGACATGGAGACAAAAATGACAGTAGGTCAAATATCAATGAAACAAAAAACTATCAATGAATGTTTTAGGCACACCATATGACATATGCATACAGAGACAGAGCCACATGTGAAAGCTGCTCTGAATGTTTATATTTCATGTAGGACATGGTAAAGAAAATCTCATAAGATTATATTACCTAATAAAAACATGACACCAATAAACCGCATAGAGTCTCGATACAGTTTAATGTCCATTGGTTTTGGATATAGAATAGCCCTCACAAGTGTACCTTTAGCTGTATTGAATCCTGTGAAAAATTTGAACATTATTATAAAACATAGTGTAACTATTACAACCTTGACCATTGAGAACCTACATGTAGATTAAAAAACAAATGTATAGATGAATATCAATCAAACCATGCAATTTCTTTTCTTTGCATGGCAAAAGTGAATAAACAAATTGAGAAACAATTCAAAAATAATCTAAGTATTTTGCAAGAGAAAAATGATGAAGTCATCATAATTACAAAGATATTAATATCTATGTTCCTCAAATAATACTACATGTACTGCATTAATCCCAATGTTCCTGAAAGAATAACATGAATTGTATAAAAGTTCTTAAAAATAATAGTACAGATGAAATATATTTTAATAAGCAAAATTTGGCAAGAAAAAAACTAGCCAATGTGTTCCTCAATTAATACTACATATGCTGTATTATTCCCACTGTCCTTTAATAAATAATACATGTATAGCATGAATTATAACAAACAAGCCATGCATGGCAAAGTCCCTGTTTGTTATCGAACATTAAAATGATTGACATCTTGCATCTAATTGTCAAACGAGTACTTGTCCATATTGAGAGATATTACTCTGGAAAAGCGTTAATTAACAATATTGGCCATTTTGAATACATCTATATACATAATCAATCAAAGTATGTCATAGATATGGCACTAGAACTGCATTCATTAAAACAAAATGGCCACCAGTCGGCCATTTTAAATCCAATCTGAAAAATAAAATGAGGTGCATCAGGAACCCATAATATCTAATGTATATACCAGGTTTAAACAAAATCCATCCATAAATGCCAGGAATGCTTGATATTTGATGATTTTTTATCACAAAAATGGCCACTATTTGGCCATTTTAAATCAGAATGTGAAACGCATGGACGGACGCACACACAGACACACTAATGCAAGGATGCACAGAGGCCAATCCATAAGTCCCTGTTTTCAGACTGCATCCGAACGAAGACAAAAAAACTTTCCAAATAATAGTAATAGTGATATATAAATCTATAAGCAAAATAAAATACTAGCCAGATTTGAAAAAGATGGGAAACAATACACTTGTCACTTTTTATACTAATAACATATCGATTTACTACACTTATCTAAGTTCTTAATATCAGCAGTATAAATGTCTATATTTATTCCATATATTTCTGTCTAAAAATGTTTCATTTCAGTCAAATTTTACCCTTTTATCCTATATCTTTAAAATTACACTTACTATTTGCACAAAAAAAAGAACTTGCTTGACATTCCATAACAATTATTAAGATTCCCAATTTTGAAGATGGTCAAGTAAAAATTGTTATTGTAACCACAAAAAGAAGACAATTTTGAGTGAAATTTAATGATTATCTTGACTACATAGATGAACTGGTTCCAGGAGTCTGCTCATTTCTGAGATCCAACCCACCAGTCTATGACTACATAGATGAACTGGCTCCAGGAGTTTGCTCATTTCTGAGATCCAACCCACCAGTATATGACTACATAGATGAACTGGCTTCAGGAGTTTGCTCATTTCTGAGATCCAACCCACCAGTCTATGGTT